AAAAGTACTAGAGCCCAACCGATATATCGGCTGGCCGATATTATCGGCCAATATGGGCACCTGGAGACATATCGGCTATCGGCCGATATACTTGCTGATATGGGTCGATATTTCACGTGGGCATGTTATACCTCGTTATACAGCTTAGACTCTCTACATTATGTTCATTTAATCCAATTTACAGACAGATAAATGTCCTAATATGTGGCTCCGCATCAGTATTTATCTACAGTGTAATTTGTCTGTGTGTCGTACTGTCCCTGAACACACCACCAGAGTCACTTCACTCGCGTGTGTTTGTTTACACCCGCAGTGGTGCGCAACACTCAGATTATATGCTTTTTCGGACAATCGGTTTGAGTCTGGATTAAAAGGACATTTATTAGTGCAGACTTGTGATGTGAGGAGGAGCCTGTGTGAGCGGTGAGTGTTGGAAATACATCGACTTTGAAGCTAGTTTAGGTGTTGTCAGCGGTTAGCTGCTGTAGTTCTCACACATAAACAGACTGTTTTCTATTGGTCTATTGTAAAGTGACTACATTGGCCGTATATTTGTTACTGGACCAGCATTGATATGTAAATGAGCTGTGAATAGACGTGTGAATGATCCACATTTATGCATATAATTAATAACCGCGGTGGCACGTTTTTACGGCTAAAGGCTAATAGCGATAGTTTACTAGCTAGGAGTTATGGGTCGGTCGCGATCGAAGCGGCTCTTAGATCCGGCTCTTTGAAGCGAACAACAGGAGCCTGCTTCTTATAGGGAGCCGTGTTTTCTCTTTTTCTCACTTTTTCTCTTCATGCCGCATGTAGACCCGTAGTTTGACAGCAGCAGCGGCTGAAAACGAAACTTTCAGAAATCTGCGTGTGCATAGGATAAAAAAATTGGCTGCAGTTCAGCATAAAATGAATAAACCAGGACTAAACTTGGGCTTAAGTGAAGGAGAGAGATAGAAACCAAGTCCCGACACTCAGTCCTGGTTCAGTTCTGGTTTAGTCCTGCTTGCAACAAAACAATCTCAAGAGTCGCTTGGGAGCCAAAAGAGCCAGCTGCTTTAGTGAGCCGAGCCGGTTCTCCAAAAAAACAAAAAAAACAAAAAAACTGGAATACCCATCACTAGCAGTGACAGTAACAGTAGCTAGAATGTGATGCATAAATGCCATTAGGCCAATCTACTGTATGTAAATATGATGTAAAGAGTCAAAATAACAATAAATGTTGCCTAAATAAACCCAATTTAGAATCCATTAGAGCCAAACCTACGTTTTTTAATCAATTCAAGATTTACAGTGAATTTTTACATCACTAAATATATCGGTGATTATATCGGCTATCGGCAGCTCCAACTCCCATTATATCGGTTTCATATCGGTCACAACAAAATCCATATCGGTCGGGCTCTAAAAAGTACTTTTCTTTATTCTTTGAGACCTGCTGAAATGCCTGAGACTGGTAATAACTGGCACATTTAATTCCTCAAAAATATCTTAAAAACTGGTATCACCTCTCCACAAATCTAACCTGTAATTTGGCTTGCAAGTCTCCATAGTGTTTCTTAAGTTTATGGCCATACTGTGGAACATTCTAGACACATCTCCATGGAGACAAGTAGGTGACAGACCCTACACCAGATGCGTAGTATTACACCTTTAAGTAGATTTTGTCATATACTTTTATTTGAGTAACTTTTTTCCCCTGTATCAGTGCTTTTACTTAAAGATGCACTATGTAACTTTTTTGTGTAGTGTCAGTCACCTGCTTGTTTCTATGAAAATGTTATTGCTCTGCCTGGAATGTTCCACAGTATGACATTAAACAGCTCTAATTTACATTTATTCAATTACAGGTGGTTTTATAGCTCAATACCTAGAAAAACAAAACATTCTGACAGTGAGCGGGTCGCCTCCCCACAGATCTGACCTGCAACTTAGTCTGGTTTGGTCTCCATGGAGATAGAAAGGTTTAATACCATACTGTGAAACATTCCAGACAAAAGAGCAACAACATCTCCATGAAGAATGTTTGTCACGGGTTTCGCTTTGCAACACCACAGTGAAATCCACGCTTGGAGAAAGCATGGACTCAACCTGATGCAACCTTCTGCAAGAGGCGGGCTACATCCTGGTCCTTCCCTCTCCCCTCTGCACACGGCACGCTCCCATGAGACGCTAAAGGGCTTCTGCTGAATTAGCCAAATACCAGTTTAGCTATTCACCACTCTGCAAGTCACGAGTCAGCAGTCTGGGTTCAGTAATTGTATACCGGCATAGTACAGTGGAAGGTGGAGTCGAAATCCATGTTAGTCTATGGTATGTCACTAAAAATATGATCATCTGAATGTATAGAGAGATGATAGACACAATTTAATATATATAAAAAGGTATAGAGATGATAAAAGAGTGAACATTTTGAGTGAATGTTGTTTAAAATGCCCATATTACGCTATGTTGTTATGATGTTTTCTGATCAAAAACATTCCTGGAGTTGTGTTTTGTTGCAATCTCATGTTTAACTAACACACACATATGACATCACAAGGTGGAACAGAGCTCAAACATGAAACAAAACACAACTCTGGGTCTGTTTTTGAGGCGATAACAACATTGTAATGTGGCTTAAAGCTCACCAGATAACGTTGAGAATGTTTCTAAGCTTTTCGACCTAAGGGCCCATTCTTTCTGTAAGTAACAATCTCAGATATGAAATGCATGATATTCTACTGACTGTGTCGCCCTCAAGGAGACACTCGCAGCCTCACTTTGGACCCTGGCCCTAAGGTTAAAAATCACTGCTTTAGAAGATATGAAAAATGTCAATATTGAGTAGTTTCCTGCAAAAAACTAATTTAAAATGAAAAAAGGGGGTTTAAAGGGACAGTTTAATGCACTTTAATGCACCTTTCCACCCTTTATGCACCATTACACATCTTTCTGCACCTTTACACCTTTCTGCACCTTTATGTGCCTTTTTGCACCATTCTGCACCTTTCTGCACCATTCTGCACCTTTATGCACTATTTTGCACCTTTCTGCATTTTTCAGCACAATTCTGCACCTTTATGTACTTTTATGCATGTTTATGCACCATTCTGCACCTTTATGCACTTTTATGCAGATGGAGATGCAAGAGAAATCTCGAAGAGGACAGTTCACATAATGTATATTCAACCTTATCATTATCATAAGGTTGATAATGATAACCTTATCCTATCGATTAGTGGCTAGAACCAAGAACTTATTACATTACAACAAAAAATGCAGTTGAACAATATTCATTTTATCTGTGTAATATTATTGGCCTATAGAATGTTGTCACATCATCTGAAACTCAGCAATAGACAAAGTATTGTATGTTAATTTACACAGTGAAAAAAGCACTAGTAAAAGCTTGCATAGTGATATCAAATATTCTATTCTACTATTATTTATGTTGAAAATGACAGTCTGTTTCCTTAGTCTCAGTATGGTCAGTATCGTGTCGATTAATCTTGAGAGAAAAGAGGTACAGTATAGTCTTATTTTTATTATTTGAGATGAATGGCTTTAAAGAGACAGTCCTGAAGTTTAGACATTAGACATGACACAAGACCTCATTTCCTAGTGAGCCAGAGTGTTGGAGACGTGTGGAGACACTTTTTAAAATATTCCATCCAGTCCTTGTATTTGCAGAGGTCGCTGGTGCAAGACTAGTGCATGTCAATGGCCATAGTTATCCTGATAGAATAATGTTTGAAATAAAACTAACCTTGCATCGCATGAATCGTCACATGTTGAGAGACTATTTTCTCAGCAGCAGCTGAATTTTACTTTGCCGGTAAGATTGGTGCTAGGTGATATCAGTCACCTAGTCTAGTCTAACAAAGAGAATGTTTGGTGAATGTTTTTCAAGGGAAAAGACGTTATTGTCCTTCTTCCTATGGGATTTGGTGCTTTACACACATCACGACCAAATAGCAGCGACTGGTTAAATAAAAAAAGTACCTGCCTACCGTTGAGAGA